TTTTCAATAATTTTTTATTTAAATGCTATCAACTTTACAGAAAAATAGCATGGGACAAAAATTGCTCATTTTCTTTTTATAAAGTTCTGAGAATTTTTTCAGAATTTTGTATCAACTTTTTAGTACTGCATTTTCTTATTTTTGCCAACATGAGAATATACAGTATTAAAAAATTCTGAAAAAATTCTAAAAAAAATTCTTAGAGCTCTACGAGAAGAAAATAAATTATTTTTGTCTCTTGCTGTTTTTTTTTTGTAAAAGTGATAGTATTTTAGTAGTATTTAGTAGATAGTAAAAAATTATTAAAAACCAATATTCGACAATTTTTAGTAATTAATTTCTCGTTAACCATTGTGAAAATTACAAAATGGTAAACTGTACGACTCAGTTTAATCCGCTCTACCTACACAAAAGCGCCTGGCAAAAAATTTCGAGACATCCTGTACGTTGCTACTATTTACTTATTCAGTAAATTAAAAATAAAAGACTACAGCTTATTTTTAAAATTTTTTTCACATATTCGCGATTATCTCTGTAAGCTCTAAATAATCATTGTATTCGTTATTGCGATATTCGCTTGGGCTGCGTAATTCGATCGTAGGACGCGCATGTCTTGAAGCATTGGCGGACAGAGGTCAATTCATGAACGGATACATCGCTCACGACAAATAGCTGCGTAGTAAATGTTCTCGAACCAAGCCTTCGCCAATTTCCTGATCACTCACGTCTTCTGTCCCATGTCAACGTGAACCACGCCCGTGTTCAATGTTTCACGCGTTTGCTATACGTCGGAAATGCATCGAGCGTTTTCAACACGTTGAACGCGCCTCTTTGGAATTCGCGGAGCGATCGTTACGGTAGTAGCTGCAAGGTGCATCGGGGGTGCAATCGGCGAGGTAGGAAGAGTCTGTAGTGATTCACGATAATCGATGAACGTTTCAAGGACGGGAACGATGGTATGTTCTCTTGAATTCGATCATTTGGATTTAAATTGTTCTTCGAATTTCCATGAGAACGTGGAACGAAGATAGAATATGAGATTGAGCTTGCGATGA